TTATATAATCATATCAGTTGACTAAACATTTCATTCTTATAAGAAATAAATATATTGTTAGTTTTGATAATTTAACTTAAGTCACTGATCCATCAACACCTATCTTGCGATTGAATGCTTTCCATGTCAGATATACAGCATCATATAGATCTATTTGTAAACCATCAGGAATCAGTGTCAATCATTGTTTCGATTGAGAAAACAAATAATTTTTTCTATAAAGATACTGATCAAGTTGTTTGTTATTGAGTTATTTCAATTATAATAAGTAGAAATATATTTTCAGTTTTAAAATTAGTGATCAATACTAACCTCAATTCAACATAGGAAGTAATAATTATGCACATACAATAGTTGGTGTAAATAAAAAAGCTTCATTGACTTTTTAGTAATTATATTCTGGGATAATCAATAACATCTTTATTATGATAACAATCTTATGATGATTAAATTTCATGTCAGGAAAATTACAAAGTATTTTTCCAAAACAAAACAAGTATTATTTATAGTTGATATTCCGACGATTTTTAAAAATGATTCTAGAGTTATTCAGATATTGTCATACTAACTCTGTTCGAATAAAGTTAACCAAGACTAGAAAAATCTGTTTCAACAGTCTACATCGAAAACTCACGTTCATCTTAAACAACCATTACAATGTATAAACCACGATGTTTCGAAAGTGTCAACCATTTCTAGCGGGGGCTGCTGTAGTAAATCCACTTTTATGGAGAGAACGTGATTGCTTTAATAGAAACATTCGTTATTATAACCAACTGTACCAGTGATTGTTGAACTGTAATTTTTGTCTATTAAACTTTGTACGCGCAAAACTTTCCGTTTGTGTTGCTGCCATTTCAGCTCCATTGTCTGTGTAATTTTGCCCCTCTTTTCTGGCACGATTTCGGTATTCTTTCGATATCACGAAATCGCCAGCAAATATATTCTTTACTATGGAATAACTCTTCTTCACTGCGACAGGTTCGTTATTGCTGTAGTGGTGATCATAGTCAATTGCGACTCGATCGCCACTACGAATTGATGATAACTTTCAGAAATTTAATATGACAAACACCACTAAATACACGAAAATGAAACGAGTGAGTTCTGATTTATACAACAGCTTGAGCGAAACAGTTCTTAGTATATTTGATAGTTAATGAGAAAATCCTGATCATAATATTCAAACAGATAGTGTTTCTTTTTAAATTTGTTTAACATTTGGAAATACAAGAAACTTAATATCTGAATTAAAAAATCTTGGTAGTAAATCTGCCAATAACCTACTATTCATCTTTCCACAGTGGAACATTGTAGGCTAGCCCCAACACAAAGCATTGATTTTCTTAAATTTCTGAACTTAACCCGTTGGTAGGTTCGTACAAGTGTATTGATTTAGTTTGGAACTCATGATAAAATTATTATTGTTAGAGAGAAACAAATGGCATGTGTTTAATGGAGAGAAATTAGTAGTTATATGTATATATACAGAGAGAGAGAGAGAGGGAGGGAGAGAGAGTCGACTGATGAAATCTTTGTAGATTTTAATACAAAAAGTGCTCGTGCTTAGTAGCTGATTATTTATTTGAACAGCATTAAATAATTAGTATTGAAATTCGGATCCAAAAACATTCAGTTCAAAAATACTAAAACGTAACAATTTTCATACTTTCAACCGATGGACACCACCAAATGGTAGGTTTCGGTTGTTGTTAAATACAGCAGTATTCACCACAGTCAAATGATACTTGCATCGAGGTGAATCGATTGTCAATTAAGTAAGGTATGTTCCCTAGCACATTCAAGTCTTCCTGTTCATCACGGTGTTCTAATTTTCTTAGTTCTCATCGATTTCGAAAGTGTTTGACTGATGCTCGACAAAGAACACGGGTAATTTTAGTTTTTTCATGACCAGATAATCGTTTTACAAAAATCCACAATCCGCAGTACAACTATCTTACATCTGTTACAGCTATAAATTCAACTCACGAACGTAGCGATCTTTAGGATATGGCTCCAAACGAGTAAGCAACTTATTGATAGATAATTGTTTCATAAAGCCCTAATATGATTCGAGACAGACGATCTATTCGAACTCATCCTCCATACCTTCGATATAGACTCATCACACACTCAGTCTTTGGAACCATTAAAGATTAATTAACGTGCTACTGTAACTGTGGCAAAGCTACTAACTAGAACCCCCTACTTTATTACCTCATCCTATGTTATTTATATTTACTCTGATTACGAATCTTATAATATCAATGGGTATATAAACTTACTCAAGTTAGCATTGCACTTCAGTCATTTCCACATCATTTTATTTATATCTAATCTTAGTTTTTTAGTTAGTCATATCTATAAGCTGATCCATGTAACGATTATACACTGGTAATTCAAAATTATTCAGCTCAAATGATTACAGAGAAAGGTTTCACGCAATCTGTGAAGTCGGAAAATAGGTAGCCTAAGGGTTAAGCGGACATATTTCGATCCAAATTACCTATGTAATGCACCTGACATTCTAATTACTGAATTAAGGGCAGCTCCCATACATATCTAGCTATCATTATGTAAAGAAAATTTCCAGATCTTCCCAGTTCGCCAACGCAGGTTAAATAATGGTGGGGTGTTGTCGGCGTGTGTTACTTAAGAGAGATTCCCAAGGGTTTAAAACCTATCTCTGTAAGCGAGTTGGTTAGGCGAAGATATCGATTGGTCTATACTGGTCCTTCATGTCTAGTTAGGTCAATAGTCGTCAATGTGTAACCTGCGAATGACGTTTGTTGATTCATTAGAGCTTTTGAATGTGGTCCATAGACCGTCTACGATCACTAGCCAATAGTGTGTAATAACTGTATACTATGATAAGATACTGGGTGTTTTCAAGGATTACAACAATCCATATGGCTAAAATGAAGAACTGAGCAAGCACATGGTCTCTACACAAACCACAGTGGTGAGTACTCTACAGTCAGCTGGGAGTTATTTTCGTAATGAATGTCTATCTTAGTCACCCATCTTCATCATACTAATCCTTCAAATTATTCAGACCAGAGTAGCACTAGTAAAACAACAAAAAGTGAACAATTCGTGTACTGAAGTCTGTTAGGTTTCGCAGAAATGACGACATCTAGTGTGCATTTCGTACATGCAATGTGCAGTTTAATACTCACTGAAAGATACATCCGTCTCATGAGTGATAGTCGATTAATAAAGGAACTATAAGTTAGATCATTCTCATACTCTTGAGGTCTTTATTAGTTCTGTCATAAGTACACTATTCAAAAGTATTTTACTCTTATCCAATAGTTTGTATTTCCCGAAAAATTAGGGGAATTAAGAGGAAGCAAATGGGAGGAAGTCGTTCTTTAGTGAAAATTGTCGACCTACCGGGAATCGAACGACAGGTAATAACGTTATCCCTATGTTCACTCAAACTCAACCAGTGAATATGAGCGAAACGCATCAAGTGAAACAGATATACTAGAGATAAAATAAAAATAATCGTTCGACCTATGTAGTCCAGACAGACGTCAACAGGAACATCATTTCAACGACGAAAATCTCTGGATCAATTTTCGAGACCTACCGTAACTGAATGAGAACGGTAGATTGGGAGTGCTTTCACAGTTAGGAAAGACTTAAGACAGTTCTCGCCACGACGGTACAAACAAAACCTTTTGTCATGACGGAAAAAGAATGATTGACGTCTATGCACTTCAGTTGTCAGAATGCGGGATATTATACTTATGCTTGGATGAGCAATCTACAAGTTCTCAAACTCCATGAAGAGAGTATTGGACTCGCTCCTCCTTGGCACCTCCAATTATTTTATTACTGAAACTGGTTCAAGAGATCTTCAGAGTGTAAATCAATAGTGCTGTACAAAACTACCATCCTTATGCCAGTTAGAAAGTAAAGTTGTTGTATGAAATTGATCACAAGTACGATGCGATCATAGCTCCTTGTTTCAACATGCAATTACCTGTGAACAGGAACTTGTATATTCCGTATACAGCAGTACAGTTCATATAGGCCAAACCAGGGTCTTAACGTGACTAGTCCTATCCATCCAGATTGTATGTAGCTACTAAAAATCGGATGAGTCCGTTCTATTATCAGCACTGACCCTATTTCCCTTTCCAATCCAATTACGTGTTCATCAACTTCCCATTCTTAAGATCTACTTTTTAAAGCAACTTGCACCAGGACACTCAGAAAGGATCCCAACGCCTTCATCACGCAGCTTCTTGGTCGTAAACTCTGCTACATGAATAGCAATGCGCCTTTAAAGACATTGATTTCTTATGGGTGTTTTGCAATTCGCCTTACAAACTTGCACAATGACTGTAATTCAGAGTACTAGCGTTTCACTTCAATTAATAAAACTGAGGAAGAATTTACGGAGATTTTTCGAAGTACGATATTCAGATGGCGTAACTATGACTCAGGTTTAGCGTAACAAAAGAAAGGTAATGAACATTTGAACTACTCAGCATATGAACATATTAAGTAAAATCCCACTCATCAACAAACAACTATACAATGTAGTATCGTATAAACAAAATGACTCCAGAAACGTTAGCCTTAGATAGTAAACACCGCCACACAGCATGTCGCACGTTTACTTACAACTGGTGCGTGTCAATCACTGGAGAAACTTCAGATACTTGCGTTTGTATATATAACTAAACATGATGGTCGCTTGAAGCACGTAATCACAGAAAACAAGGACCTAACACGCATAAAAGATAACGACTCGCATCCGGTAAATTTACAACATTCACAAGGTTAGCGGAGGACACTCTTTATTCCTATCGTATAAGCTCAATAAACTTATACTCCACTGAACATAGAAAACTATGCAACCAACACTGAATCCGACCTTTTCGGCTAATCAATCATACGTAGCCGGGCATATTTAACTTACAAACCAGTGGGATTTGCGTTTATCTTGAAAAATATGCATTAACTCTATGTCCAAAAAACAAAGTACCAAGGCACAAACAAGTTTATAATAACTATACATAAAAAAGAAAACAAATCATTCAGATTATGCATTGATTCAATTGACATATGACGCTATGCGCCAATAAAATATACAAGCTCACTGGAGCGACGGGGAAAGTGTACAGGGACAATGAAAGGGGGAGGCCGTGAAGGCCCCTATGTACAACTGAAGCGCAGAAGCGCAAAAATAATAAGCTTTACAAAAGCTACAAGATCATACCACTGGGATTGCAAATAAACTGTTCACAAAAGGTATAATGAGGTAATACTTGAGAAGAGTCGGTTAAATGCTAACAATGAACTATAAAAACAGGCAATTTTCAAATTGCGAATATCGAAGGGTTAAGTTGGAAGCTGAAAGATCTGTGTTGGGCTTACTCCATTCGTAACATGTAGCTGAGGACCAGGGACTTTTGGATCCCTAGGCCCACAGTCACGAGTTAAACGACGTACTTTAGGTGGTGGCAACACTGAAGGATTCGTCAGCAGCATTCTGTTGTCCGTCGAAGAAAGGCCGTTACCATTAGAATTGCTGAAAGAAACATCAACACTAGAGGATCTGGGGAACTCAGAAGGCTGAAGCGTAAAACCGTACGGCATTGTCAGCTTTCGCCAGAGGCGATGAGTTGATACCAAACTATTGCTAGACTTCGGCACCAATATCGCTTGGGAGGCTTGACACATATTTGTATTCGTGATGGGAATCTATATATGTATGAAGCAAGCCCAAAGAAATTGTTAAGGTCTTAGCCATCATCAATGTAAAACCAATTTATAACATATCATAATTTGTGACAGTATCTGATCATTTAGATAAAACAAATGCATAATCATCAAAGCAGTTTCATTGCGTGACTGACTAAAATTAAATTAAGTAAACACCATGATATGGGAATACTTCTCAAAATCAGAAAGATAAAGCCTTTAAAAAGTTGAAAATGAGTACATACAAAAAAGGCTCACCATAGCCGCGGACGATACATTAACTGATTTCTTTGGCGTTTGATCGTTCAGACGGTGCGACGGAGAATGCTTTTCCTGAATCAACAAACCATCATTCGGAACATCATTTAACTCACGTCCCGCATCCACATCAACTTCATCTACAGTCTCATCGTCCGGATACTTCCTTGAGGTTGTTGGACGATCCTTCTTCCAGTAGGAAATAGGAGGCATACGAGGATTAGCAGATCCTTTCGATTCAATAAGTATAGGTTCAAAGGGCACTGGTGGAAAGGTAGGTTCAGAAACCGGCCAGGAGAATGAAGGACGCGCACGATGCGAACCGAAAGTAGAAGTTTTTAGTCTGTTGAACAAAGCAACATCTTTCGTTTGTGATTGTCGCCAGCAAAAGTTCGAAGGCATTAGACTCGGACTGGTTGAATCACTAGATTGCAAACACGCATCATACGACTGGAGATAAGCAGAAAGTGCTGGGGGAGCTGCGATACGATCACATATTATTCGACCCCCACGACCAAGACGACGCCTTATGTAGCCAGTGTAGGTAAGACGTTTTGTGTGACACAGCCGTGGGATTGTTGCCAACGTATAGCAGGAATAGGGTGAACGAGAAGGATGGGAACTGGTGAGTGCGGAACACTCTTCGGGTAATGACCTGAGAAATTAAAACGAATACAGAGACCTTACATTAATATGAGGTAGACGAGGGACGGACGAATACACTAACTTATCGGATCTTTGGTCTGTAGTAGTACAACCTTAGTATCTGTCGAGAGCATACGTCGACGGAAACCTACACAATTCTCGGCTGAACTAATGCATAACCATGCTGGTATTGAAACGCCACATACAGAATGGCCAACTAACAGTAGCATTAGAAATTAGCTCGAATTGACCACGAACAGCTACTAATTTGAACTCACCTACTGCAGTTCAGACTCCACACAGCAAAATGCTTCATCCCATATAAGCTGTCTTATAAACTGTATGAAACCCTTGGTGGGACCGGTCAAGCCGGTGTTTCGCATATTTAATAAGTCACTAATAAGGTCACCTGTCGTAATATTGCGGTAAACAATGAGCACGGTTCACCTGGTCTACTGAATATCAAGTCATCAGGAATTCGAGTTCTCTCTGGAGGACAATAAGACTATATCACGAGTTTCGACACCATACCGAGTGTCTCATGTGAAGCAGTGCTTAGAAATGCAGTTACCAGTGCTGAGTTTGACGTAGACTCGACTAGTGTAAAGTTTTCTTATGATTCGTACTAGTTACTCGTATCATTCGAATCTGCGGATCATGGTTCCCCTGTTTGATTACACATCTACCAAGCGGTTTAGAACTTTTTTGCACGCATGCTTTTTGAAACTGTCTGCACAGTTAAGTTTATCATTTCAGATATGGTAAGAATGTAAGTTTCGTTGCATATTAACTATGTCCATCCACCCAAAATGAAAGATTATCATTCGCACAGCATAAAATTCAACTTTATTGATTGATACCAAACGAGAATCCCATTGTTTGAGCGACTACGACAATTTGGGATACTACCATAACTCGTTAAGGGAAACAAATAAGAACAGTAAACAAAAATCTTGTATTCAACAATAGACCTTTGCGCATTGATTGGTAGCAATAATGCAAGCACTATGTACAATAATTTTAGCAACCATTTATTCACGGTTGGAAACACTAAAAAATATCATAAGCTTGTTAAGTTTAGTTCCGAAAGTTTTTGTCATGTGCCGACGGAATACATGGTAAGCGATACTATGACATTCCAATTTACGAACGTTCTACCTAGGCTACTTATGAACAGCCGTAAAAAAATGGAAAATGAGAATAACTTAAAAAATAGATGAGAGTTTAGCACAGAAATACAGTAGGTCCGCTGATTAACTATATACCTTGGCTTCAAATATCGGCAACCAGGAGTTCTGACAAAAGAGAATGGTCCACTTTGATGATCATCATTGTCAGACGCCTCGTCCGAACTTGTAGGATTTGGAAGATTGCTGAATTTCTTGACTAGTTTGCGCTTGAGATTAGGACGCCTTTTGTTGTCCTAAAAGAACTAAACTTCTTAGTTAAATGACTTACTTTTATGGGCTTCGTTGTTAATGCTCCATCATTATCGCGATAGTTACGTGCCATAGTTTCAGCCTCAACGAGACTTGAGCCTTCCCAATCACATAACTTGCACCTTAGCTGAAAGCATCTGTAATCACAACCAACGATAGCTTCCTTTGTAGCTTCACGTTTTACAAGTCGACCGAGTATTTCCCTAAGAAAATGTACTGTAGTAAATTTTGTCAAACCCTAAAGAATCCATTTGTTCTCGTAAAATCAGCATCCTTTCGTACGACTGTTCATCGCTTTTTCTGTTTTTACGGGTCTGCATCTTTTCACTTCGTCTTCGAAACGCCACATATGGATCCGTGTTACTGCCTCCATCACGTCGCTCTTGTCGAACAGCATAAATAAGAGGTTGTCTTGATTGAACACGCTTATTGAGCCAATAATCATACACAGCGATGACTAAGGATGGGTGATCTTGAAGGAGATACTTAGCTTCTTCCAAATTCATCACCTACGAGCAATGAACTAGAGGAAGTAAATATACCTTTTGACCACAGCCACGCTCAAGGCGGTCAATCATGGACTCAAATTTTTCAGGAGTAATACCCAGATCACTTTTTTGGAACCACTCTTCATCCTCACTATCCATGTCATATTCAACAGGTTCCTCTTCCGAGAAAACTATTGCTTTACAGAAAATATTACCCCAATGAACAACTTACTTCTGATATGTAAAAGCTGTTTTGGTAAACTAAAGCCGTCTGGGTAAACTCTTTTATAATCATTCTCTTTGTCAATTATTTCGGGGACAGGTATTTTTACATCTGAGTCAGTTCGGAGTTGCAAGGCCTGAATAACCTCCAGAAAATGATGTTCCTGGTAGGGAAAGTTAAAAAACGATATTAGTTCACGGACCAATTCTCCTAATAACGAAGTTAGCAACCCAAAATTAGCAAGACAGAGACAATAACATACATCGTAATACTACATAAAAGCCTAAATTTCATTACATTTTCCTCCTCTTTCTCCATCCCGCTGGGAATCTGCGGAACGCCACGATTGACCAGTGCATTCTCACTGATTTCAAGGAATAATTCAGAACCATGCTTCAGAATAGGTAAGGGTTTGTTAAAATCTATTTGTCGAGCTCGAAATGAGACTTTGCTCATAGCTGCAAAACAAGAACAAGAAGAGCAAATTCATTCATAGCTCAAAGACATAGTTCTTATGTTATTAAAAACGCAATGTAAGGAAATTAAAAAGGTTCCTAATGAACTTATTATTTCATATAAACGATATCATAACTCAATAACCTTA